ATTCCATACCATGTGACGTCATGCTCAGTATATAAAGCTGGGGGAAGAAGAAGGAAGGGGGGGACGTTCGGAGTGATGGCGTTTGTCTTCCCAAGTAACCGTTACGCGTGATGGAGCCCTGCTTTCCTGGAGATGGCTGAACACCTGCCTGCCGATGGGAAGTAGTGAACGAATTCCTTGTTTTGCTTTGCTTGTGTGCGCAGCTTTTGCTTTACCTATTAAACTGTCTTTATCTCAACCCACGAGTTTTTCTCACTTTTACCCTTCTGATTCTCTCCCCCATCCCACCGGGGGGGAGTGAGCAAGCGGCTGCGTGGTGCTCAGTTGCCGACTGAGATTAAACCACGACAAGTAATTTCATTGAAAAACTCTTAGTCTTCCATGGGCTAAAGTATTTTGGAAGGGTGAACACACTATGTTTTGCCATATTTTAGGATGAGGAAAGAACTTCGTTTGTCACCTCTTTCTATGTAATCTAAATGTGTGACTTCCCACCACAAATGCTTGTTTATCCATGCAGGCATCTATAAGGGGAAGAAATTTCAGCTCCTTAGTGCTGCCACTGTTTTTCTTACCTCTGCTCTTCCCTAAAATGAACAGCACAATATAGAGCCTCTTTGGTCTAACTCCCAGAGCCCTGATTAACTGAAGATCAGCCATTCTGTATTGAGGCCTTCAAGATATGAGAAGTTTTTTGCTGCAGATGTTGGTGCTCTCTCGCGAAAGATGGGAAAAAGCACAAGGACAGACAAGAAGCTCTGCATAACAGCCCAACTGCTGAAGACCCCCTGGATGTTTCTGTGTATACTATTCTGTGTATTGTGCAAAGTATGTCATTTTGAACTAATAAATAATTGGCTAAATAGTACTCCAAGTGCAACATTCACCTATTTGTATTTCGAAAACACTCCTGACAAACTCTGTGATAGTGGCTATTGTATCCTTTGACTGAATGCAAGTCATGATTTGGTCACTCAAGAAGAGAGCACCAGGCTTCTGGCATAAAACAAACACAGCCCTGATTGTACTTGGAGCTGCTTCTGAACAATGACCGGCAGTGGCATCCCAGCACACCACCAACCCAGCTCGAGCAGTGCTTAAGAAGTGTTTCCCTTTGCCTTAGCATTCCCTTTGCTTTGTGTACTCTCTTGAATAGAGCAGTAACGATGAGCAGAAATGACCTCTGTGAACACAGCAGTGCTGACCTGTTTCTGATCTTATGAATGGCATGAATCACTTCTCTGCCACTTCTTTAACCAGCTGAAAGATCAAGTCAAGCATCAATGTCCACGGCAAGTTACCATTTCAGCAAAGAGGTTAAGCTGCTCCTCATCTTGCTGCTTTCCCATGTTATTTACTTACTTTTGGGGGAATTCTCTCAATACGAGGAAGATACCAGCAGTACTGACATTCCTATTGAAAAGCTTTGTGAAAATATTTACTGAGAGATTGACAATTTATCCCCATTCCTATTGAAAAGCTTTGTGAAAATATTTACTGAGATTGGCCATTTATCCCTGGTTCTTTTGCTATGTTCCTGATCACCTCAGTCAAAACTGCTTTTCATTCTCATCACTGGCAGTGAGACTGTGGAGAGAATCTTCACAAGGATCACCCCTTGGTGCTGCTTTTTTCTTATTCCTGTACAAGTCAGTTCGTCTCCACATGGAATATTATGAGGCAACGTTAGTAACTAGATGCCTGTGAGCACGCCACGGCTGGATCCTACTCATCTGCAACGAACACCCGAGCAGTATCCAAGCCTGTGTGTTAGACAGGAATGCAGAGAGAAAAGAGTTGGTTTGTCAGTAAATGAGATATTCCCCATTACTTCTGATAATTCATAAACCTAGGATAGTAATTTCTTTGAAAGAGCTGGTTTTGTGTACAAACCTCTCTGCAAGCATTTTTCTATATCAGTCATATTAAAAAAAGGATACTTCCCCATTTGAGGTATATACTTTTTAGGCTTGATTTTTCTCAGCTTGATTGAACTCAGTGCTCTTGAAATCAGATTATCAGGGATGATTCAAATTTCTCAACTTTAGCAAACAAATATTTGAACCATTCACTATGGTTACTTTCAGGGAGGAACCTAAATCACCTGGCAAGGACATATAAAGCCATTAAACCACAAATGATTAAGCCAAATGATGGGTGTAACTTGATCAGAAAACATAAGATTAATACAATATGCATGGAAAATTGAGTAATTTGCACTAAATTTGAGATTTAAGGGGAGTGGAAAATAAATAGGTTGCTGAGAAGGGCTAAGAGGACAAATCACAAAGAATAGGGCTATAGATTACTGCAATTCTCATTTTCCTTGCGCTGTCTGCCCACTCCAATTCCTGCATGAGGAAGTTACAGTTAGTTTTCACATCCACTGAACACCAAGTAGTTACAAGTTATATTGTTTCGTCATTCCTATATTCTGCAGCTATTTTTGTCACTACTGAATTTGTCTGAGGGACTACTGCCCCAGCCAGCTTACACAAGTAAAGGCAAAAAAGAATCATATTCTTCCTGCAACTGAAATGCAAACCGTTACATTTTTAATGCACATCTTGTCATAGTCACCACCTAACACATTACCCAAACCTTGGTTTACACCTGCAAACACAAACAGGAAAAAGGCACGCAGGTGATACTTGCCAGCCTAAACCATGCAGAAGGTATCCCATGGGTTTCCTGGCAGGAGGGATCTCTGTGGGATGTCGAAGCACCAGCCCAGCTCCTACAAGGGAGCATGTACCAAATGGAGTGCTGGTGATTGTTAGGAGTTCATTAAATTACGTGAAGGTGTAAAGATTAAATAACATGTGTTTGACTTTATTCTTGCACATAATTGCAAATAATAAATACACATAAAAAATCCCATTAACATATATTGTACTAAACCCACATATCCTAGGCAAACAAACTCCTTGCCATGAGTACATACTTCCCCCATGTTACCAAAATGCACACTCCACCTGGTACAGAATCTTGTACAAAATTATTAGGTTACCAGTACTTAGATGTGCTCTAACCTTTCTTCATGAGAGATGTAACAATGCAGATAATGCTCAACTGCATTTACCAGAATTTTTCCTGATAAAATAAACTTGTTTTTTTGTCAACACTCTTCTTTTTTTCTTTTTTTCTTTTTTTTTAATCTTTGAGTTCAATTTCTCCGCTATCAATCTGTTGTGGGATTCAGACAAGCATCTTTAAGATATGTTTGTACAAGGCTATAGGATGAATCCAGACCCTCCGTTTTGCAGCCACAAATGCCTTTCTGGCATCATGCCTCCATGGCGCAAGCGACCTCGCATTTTGTAAGGCACTCGCAGGCCTTGCATGTTGCTGAGCCCAATGCTACAGAGGCTTCCTAGGTGACTGCATGTAAGGAATTGGTAAAAATAAGCTGTGAAAGATACAGGAGAATGTCAGATTCCTCCATCCCAGAGCTGGGATGTCAGACCATCTTCTGTTTCCACAGAGCTGTTCCACAAAACCCCTCAGCCTTCAGGCAGGATTCACTCCCTTGTTGAGACATTCAGGGTACCACCCAAAGCATTTGACACAGAGCACACGTAGTTTAGATAGCTTTTTTTTCTACATAGATGTTTAAACTATGGAAATTTGCACAAAGAAATTGAAGTGAGTTATTAAAGTAGAAAATACATCTGTTTTAAAATACAGATTCAAAATATCAAATGCATTTACTTACTATTTTTTCTCAGTTATCATTAAACTAATAATAATTGCTCTCATTCCCATATTTAACCCAGAAAGTATATCCTTAACAAACTGCAAGACTGTCTAATAAAATATGATATCAAATCTAGGACAAAAACATTTGTCATTGTGCAATAGTGACCAGCAATTAAGACAGATAAGAATTCTAATCCAGTATCTCATAAACCCATTATGTAACTCCAGAGACATTGATCAGCACAATAAATTTGCACTAAGATAGAGATGACAAATATGAACATAAAAGAACTTAAGGACTCAGATAAGAAACTATGAAAAGGAATTCTTTTTATGAGCAATGAGAGGAAAATATGCCCCACAGGAACAGAAGCATTTGTTCTCAAACTCAGTGCTCTCTTGCGAAAAGATTTAGATAATCTATGAATACTTAAGAGAAAGAAATCAACTCACCCTGTCTATGCTACGTTTATAACGTATGACTAGTGTTAAACATATTTTTGTCCATATGGGGAAAACAAGCAAACAAAAATGCTAGAGACATATAGACACGTGCTATTTCCTTTTTTACAGTAATATGCTTCCTCAGGTTAAAGAATAGGATACCCCAAGGCATCCTCTAAGCTATTCATGCTTAAAAACACAAAAGGTGTACCTGTAGATCAATAAACTTCTTATTTCCAGGGAAAAAAGTAACATCATTAGTTCAGGGAAATTCAGGTCTCATTTGAGTCAAAGACCAAATACCAAATACTGACTTCAGTGACAGGAAGAACTGGCTTTTGGGATTAAAAGCCATCAAACTACGTTGTGTTTTAGAATTATCATTAAGTTTTAGCCTGTAAGGACTGCTCAGTATCATTGCGCATTTAAGTTTTTGCTTTTTTCTTTTTTTTTGCTTTACCTTATGTATACCAATTACAGATGACCAGGTCCTGAATCCCTCAAGTCAAAGGAACACAGAACATGCATTGACTGTTCTTAGCAGGGTAACCCCCAGATCAGTTATTCGGCAGGTAAGGAAGTAGAAGAATTAATTTTAATTGTTCTTTAGTACCTTGTTAGAAATAGACTCTACTGGCCCCAGCACTCGAGACTAAGGAGTTTAAGATAGGACCTTGCACTAAGAAAAGAGGGAGTATCAGTGTGGAAGAACCCCAAAATAATGCAATTAATTGGAGTTCTGGGGAGGTGGTGGTGGTTGCAATGTCAAGACAGTAGCGGTTTAATTGCTTGTTAGGTCTATTGCATGATGTTTTCTTTTTTAGCATGGTTAAACCCCTGTTTAAGGCAACAGATCTTGCAGATAAGAACTCTTGCAGGAGAGTTGTTCTGCTCTGGGAAGTGGAGGAGGATCTGAAAGCAGTGGAAGAATACCAGGTCTGCTCTTCAGCAAAATAAAAAGCCACAGCATGTGAGTAATCCTATCTTCAGTCATCGAAGTATGTATTCAAGTCGTTCTCTGAATAATGATGGGATTACTCACGTGGGTAAGGTTAAGCACATGCTTTTGCTGAACTAATATATCTGGACAGAAGCCATAGTATTCTATGCAGTTCTCTTCGGAGGTTTTCTCTGCAAATATTGGAACACCCACAGAACTGAAGGGAGCATCAAGATTCCCTTCTGCTTTCCATGTAATTATCACACAGAAACTCCCTGAACTTAAACTTACTGATTTTTGCTTAGCTTTGAAATGTTAGTCCTCATATAGGATATGATGTCCTAATACCAGGACCAAAATGCTTCTTGACACTCTAGGACAGTGCAGTGAAGAAAAAAATCTTTTATAAGGGGATATAAACCATTATTCTGGTTTCAGAAGTCATTGAAACTAATATGGCTGCGCAGATATATTTGAAAAATGTGACCATTAAACTCTGCAGTATATAGAATATTTATCTACAGTAATATAGATGTCTCATTTTGGGGTACATGGCAAAGAAGTAAACAAGGGAAAACTTGTTCTGATGAGCTCGTACCAGCTAGCATGAGAGTAGGTGCCTAAGATGAGAATAACTCTGATTTCAAACCAGGGATGACAGGGTTCACGCAGCCCAGGCAAGAGAGGGCTGTCTGAACCTCGACACAGAGAAGCTTTGTGTGTCGCTCCCCTCAAACGAAGGGTGGCCGAGAGAAGAGGATACAGATCCTCAGGCAAGGAAGCAACCCCCAGGTCTGGAGGTAAACTGAAAAAGGGGAGGTGGGACAGAAAGCCATAAAAATAGCAGCCAGAATGATGCATTCCTATCTATCAGTTTTCTGTGGTCCACAGTCATAAGGCACAATCACTGCACCAGCAAGTAAGTGTTGATGTACACATGAGGTGTGACAACAGTGGGACATTTACAGACACTTCGACTAAAACTACGAGAGTAACTGGTCACTCTTCTATTGATCAGTGTCCTCCAGCTACCATTTTTTTAATTATATTTTTCTAACTGATTTTGTTTGGTATAAGGAAAAAATGAGCTACAGACAGCTGGTCTATGAGAAAAACGGTGTGTAGATACCATGTCTACTAAACGTTCATTAATAACGAAGTCCACCTCTGTGCAGAGAGCCTGAGTAAGACCCATTTGCCACTTATTCTGCTCCACTGAAGACTGAGAAGACCTTGATGGAGGCATTTGTCAAAGTTGCTGGTGTAGCTCTTGAAAGTTATGAATAACCTGATGCTAGATCTGAGCTGAAATAAGTGAGAAGGGGAGCACTGAAATAACAGTCTGGAATGAATATGACTTTCGAAGGCATCAGGCATTTTAGTTTTACCTAAACTAAAAAGAACGTCCTAAGACTGCAGTAAATCCAGTGAACTTTTTTTCTAAACCACTAATAAAAATACATTTGCCATTCAACAGAATGAATAGTATACAAACTATTTGCACGTTTTGCAAACTTAGTAGTATTTTTTCAGTCAGAAGCTGTTCCAGAGACTATTTTCCTTTGTTAGCAATGGCACCTTTTCCAGTAGAAAATTTGAAAAAAAAAGAATAAATTAGTTAGAATTTGAAATTATTGATGCAATGTTAAGGCTTCTCTCTTGAATTATAACTGTTTGAGTTTACCATGTTTTGAAGTCTCAGGCCCGTAAGCGTCAGCTGCAACAGGACGAGAGCGGACAGGGCACTTTGTGGTGGGTTTACAAATCTAACTGCAGAAAATGTGAAGCAAAGAATTGGCATATTTTTTACACATGTGTAATCAGGTAGGTTCCAACATTTACAGTAATCATTCCAACTGGTCACAGAAAGTCAGACAGGTTTTCTAAAGCCTGTGTAAGTTTGACAAGGGATCTAGAACTCCTATAAAATTTTCTGCAGTACCTCAGTCATGTAGAAAAGGTTTTATATACTTGCTCTGTTGAAAAGGCAAGACTGGATACAAATTAAAAGGCACAGATATTATAGAACAGTCACATTTCTCGAATAAAAATATCTTATAAATTAAGATAATGATTAAAATTGGGAACAGCCATTTTGCTGTTGCTTTATTTCTCAGTGCTGACTGTTTCTTGACAAAACATCTCTATCTTTTCTAATGCTGCACCACTGTGTGCCGGAGGAGTCTTTCCTGAACAGCTTTTCTTGTTTCTTCCCATTTCTGTAGCTTCCGCCAAAGTATTAGTCAATGGTTTTCCCAGTGTTTCTGGAAGCATTATTGTTAATATTCCACTCAGAAGAGCCATGATTCCAACAAGCAACTAGAAGAAATAAACAGTAGCTGTAAAGGTAGAAACGTCCTTCAAGTTATGCAACTCTGATCTTGCTTGAGAGTACATTTAAAATAAAGCACAAGGAACGGTAATGTAAAGCAAGTCTTAAATATTGACTGTATAAAAGATCTGCCTTTTTTTTTTTGCATAAATGAAAGATCATGCAGCAGAATTAATGAAGAGCAAGTGAAGTGTTTTGTTCCACAAGGGATCAATACAGTGCAAGCAGGAATAATTCTGTTGGAGAAAACAATACACATCTCTTCATTTGGTATTGCTACTATCAGGTATGTATTTAAGAACTGATTCTAGGATCGCATACATTTATTTTTACATGCATGTTCATAGAGCTACAATTACCCTGCCACCTGTAATCTCAATTTGCACTCTAGCTCCTGAACCTATTCCCCCTGTACCTGTGTGCCTGTTCCTCCTGCACACAGTCAGATCAGAATTTCTCAGTATGGATCGCCGGCCTGGAGCCACAGAAGCGCACATCCCTGCTCAGGAGAGCGCTTCAGCAGATAATGAGCTGCATAAACAGGAATACTTTGCTCAACCGCAGTTTCAAAGATCTGTTAGGGGTGCAGGCATCTACTGACATTTGCACTGGGATCACATCTTGGATTTCTCCATGGTGTACACAGTTCCGTAACGACAGCTTACTTCAGCACGAGTGGTGCAAGGATCAGGATCATGCGGGGTGGATGCAGAAGCACTCACATGCTCCAGGAGTATCTTTTCTTTCCCTTCATTTCTGTGCCTTGTTCAGTAAGAACAATTCACACTTTCCTCCTCTGAAGTACAGAACAGCATTAAAACCCTGACATTCTTCCAACATCAGGTTATAGATGACCCAAATCTCTCTTGATAGAAATGCTTCCACAGCGTACATCATGCCTGGCCTCAGTGTTTTTCCATTTTATGACTGTGCACTTTGATACTGTATTATCCTTATCTTGCCCTATGCTGATTCTCAGGTCTGTCCTGTTTGTTTAATACTTTCTTTCCAAGTGTGAGAGAGAGCATTTGGAATGACTGTGCCTATGTCTCTCACACAGAGCTTGAGACAAGAACTGGCCAGCTACCATCTGCAGCTAAGCCAGACTTTCTCCTTAAGTCAGAAAGGTGCTTTAAAATTGGAATTCTCCATTGTAACCTTGAACAGAGCTATTTTCATGCAAATGCACCGTGCTGCTTTTCCTTCCCCCCTCCTCCAAAAGAAGAGGACAGCTTATCTCAAGCATTCTTCTGAGAAGCAGAATTCACACTGTTGCATACACTCCTCTTTTTGCACTTGCATTAAATATAGAGGCTGACAAAATAAAAAATTAAGCAAAATACTGTTGAATACTATAAAATACAGTGAAAATAAAATAGTCATGCTCTTACCATGAGAAATTAAAAAAAATCCTAGCAGTAACGTGACCAGAGGAAATGGCACCGAGTGACAAACAAACTGAGGGAAATCTTTGCAGAGAGAGATATATATATGTGGCATGGGTGATATTTAAAAATATATTCCAAAATATTAAAGTCTCACCTCTGAGTGTCAAAACCCTTCTCCACTATCAAAATATGATTTTCTGCCATGGTAAGACAGGATGAATTGACACATGGCAGCTATTCCACGGTAACCTCTCTTGTGCACATTCTTTAGGCTCTCATAAGTTTATATTTGAGGATATTGAGGGTTGTTAAGGATATTGAAGGTTATGGATACCCGTACATTTGGAGTTTATGAGAGCAGGGTCACTACTGATGCCCAACAGAACAAGGTTAAAGCAACACTGTGTGCTTTGAGTATGTGTGTCGTCTTTGTTTCGGTTAGTCATTTAGACACTTTGCATTCTTCTCATGTTTTCCTTCCTCATGAACCTACCTCTTATTCCCCTGCAAACTCTCACTATTCTGTAAGTGAACACACCACCATCTTTCCTGCCTTTTCATCTCAGCTCTCTTAACTCTATTCCATCACGTTAGTTTTTCTTTTTTCAATGTGAAAGCTGCTGCATGCCGACTAATTCAGTGTGTCTCCCTTCTCCCTGACCCTACAAAGCATTTTCCAATATTTCCTATGAAAGACAGAATATGAAACAATTAAGATACAGCATATTAACGAAAGGACTTCTCAAATGTCATCTGCCTTTTCAGGGGCAGTAACCACACTTGTCAATGAAGTTACTCACATTTAGTCAAAGCAAGTCTTTTGCAGTCTTATCTTATCTTGGACTACTTCATGAGGCACCTGACATAATTTAGCTCTTTGCTTGCTCATAACAAATGTGTACATTTTGTATGTATGTACTATTTTACATACAGAATTCAACATCAGAAAATGTTCTTCTGATATAGTCAATGAGTTAAATGCTTATGGATTAAAGTGTACTATTGTACAAAGTATTTAAGTATGTTTAAGCTCCACTGAAGTTAATTTGACAGGAGTACCTGCTTAAATTCATTGCTTTTTCAGGGTCTTCATTTCAAATCTGACTTTCTGCTTAGTCAAACTCTTGAAGTATTCCCAACACTTCAGTACAGGCAGCAGCTTCTAACAGCTACCATAACTAACTTCAAAAAAAGATTTACCACCATTTTTCATATGTCTTCCTCCCTACCTGGAGCAACAATTTTAATTTCACCGTTGTCTAAGACCAGGACTTAATATATTTAGTCTAGAACAAAAGATAATTTGAATTAAATATCCCTACAAAATAATACTTTTACTTCTGAGAACAAATGATTATTCTAGTCTGCTCTTTATATTTATATCTACATCTGATGGCTCTGAGCCAATCTAAAATGTGATCTTATTTACAAATTCCTACTTCAACAAAAAAAGATTAAATCTTGTCCTGAAAATCCACTAGTATTAGACACAGGATTTGCATTCATTTACCTTTACTGACCTCAGTGGAGTTTTTTTTTAAATTTATAATTTATGGTTTATCTGAGAGAAAAATCAAGTCTGTTAAAGGACTACCGTAACGTAATTCTTAACAGCTGAGAAATTACACATGGAGCAGTTGCCTTACTGTAAATTTTCTAGAAAGTTGTCACATGAGAAACATACTTGGCAAGTTATTCAAGATTTATAGTCATTCAAATGAGATGCTTGCATTACTCACAGGTGGCATAACTGTATGGGAGGCAGACTGTCAAACAAATAGCAACAGTAACTGCTTGACAATGTGTGGTGTATACAATAGATCAACATGATGTATATCAGTTTACTTACAAATGTAATCCATTTCATTTCCATTCCAAAACACTTACGTTACCTGAGACTTGGCACGCTATGCTCCAACTCAGGACAAGCCTATTTAATAAACTGATGAATGTTTTATAATAGGAGCTAGTAATGAAAACATATTCACTGTGAACTACTACACAAGTCTACAAATACTCTGGATACTTTTTGTACACTGAGAGTTGTTCACAGCTGAAATAATTCCTCTGTTTATACCGCCATTTGCACTGCTCTCCAGCATGTTTGAGCATTCCCCATCTGTGGTTTAACTAACTGCAGCACTTCTGCACAGATAAAGCTTATCTCAGCCAGTAAAAGCAGAACACTGACAAGAGAAAAAAAATGTTCTCCCATGACCACTCTGTTGTGCAAATGTTTCTTCGTCTTTTCTGCTATGATATCTTGGTTTGTATGGGGCCATTATTAAGAAAGAAAACATTTTTTAGGAGCTTGAGGGAATAAATTAATTTGTGGTCTGCTTCATCCTCTTAACTTTCATCCAAAACAACTGAAAGTAATTAATTTAAATAATGAAACAAGTTCCCAAGAATTCTCTGAAACCAAACTCTAGCATCTATAACTGAAGATTTTATAGTTGCAAAATCAAAAGGACACAATGCCACTTTTTCAGGAAATTCCAATGTGGTAGACAAAATTAGAGTAAGAATCTAGGTCAAAGACACATCCCATTACATTTTCACCTTCTGACATGTGTAATCTTCCTATAACATTTGTGTGCTAGTCACAGTGAATTCTAAGGGTTTTTGAAAGAATTAAAACTCTTTTTAAATCATTAATAAACTCTTCTCTACTTAAAGCTTTAACATAAACTTTGGTTTACATATATGTATATATGTCTGGTTTTACATATATGGGCATAAACTATCCTTCAGGAGTAAAAAAGGGATTGAATAGCTGTAGGATTTCTAAGCAGCAAATGCCTCATAACATAAATGTAATGAAGAAATGCGATTCATTTGGAAGCAGTAAATACACAAAATATTTTGTCCAAAATGGATTTGAAGCTACGTAATGCAGACAAAATGCCCAAAGTCCACGAAGGAATGGTTTCACCTCTGTTTTCTTGGGGCAACTGGAGGTAGAAGACAAAACCTAATGGTAGCTTGACCTGGAGTCACCTACAGGTAGGATGTGCTTAATGAATCCAAGGTTCTGTTGCTTGTCAAAGTCACCATGAACCTCATCAATATACCATTTGCTTCTCTTTTTCTATCATCTCATGAATTGTTTTGTTTAGTTCTTGTAAATGAAAAATGTGAAAAAGGAGCTTTGGGATAGCTGTGAAGATGAAGTATAGTAAGCATAAGACATTCTTGATCTTTTGGAAGGCTATTCCAAAGATGCAATGTCCCAGGGAAGCCATGGAAAAGATTAAGGAATAATATTAAGAAAAAACAGCCACCCGTGGTGAATTCCAAGAATGGAAGAACTATGCCTTTGAAAAAAGGTAAGAGTAAATCATAAGCATGGTCAAAAACTGCTAGGCCTGCAGAGTAAAGAAGTATGGATTAAGCACTTCCTAAAATGGTACATGGTAGATAAAGTATATTTTTATGAAAAATATTTTTATCAATTTTATACTAGGATTCAGTGCATAAGTATGTTTATATCTTCCATTGTAAAAACTTTTCAGAAGATTTCAGTGACTCAAAGTCTTCCTTTTGCTTTAGCTGCATATTTTTAACAATATGAAGTTACTTTGAGACGTAAAATTTATACGAAGAATGGTTCATTCAATTTCCTTTTCAAAATATAAGTTCAGCTTTTGGTTCCTGAGAAAACAAGTGACACATACGCCTTTTCAAAACCAGAAACATTCACCACTGAAATAAATACTTACAAGTGGCATGAAAATCCAAACACTTCTCAGATATACACAGAAAGGAGCAACCACGCTTCCTGCACGGCACATCATGCTTCCACTCCCAACAGCAAGAGATCTACACATAAAACAAAGACTTTGATAAGAATTCTGGCAGATAAAGCAAAGAATTAGAAATGCACAGACACTCAAAACATCAGTAGGATGATAGGTGTCTTTATGCACTGGTACCAGGAAGCTATTGCTACACCAGTGTAAATTTATATTGTCATGACATTCAGCTGCTTCCATAATTAAGATTAAAAATACAACAATCATTCAGCAGAGACCACAGGATGAACAACCAGGACTTTTAAGAAAGGCATAAATAATGTTTAAGAAAGTATTGAGTATTCTTCTAGTTCCTCAATGAAACAAAAGAATGCATGTGGAAATGAAAAATAAATTTAAAAATATTATACAGTATATACCAGACAACTCTGAAGCAGCGGAGGAACTCATCCCATCCCAAGTCTTCTGGACCACCACCACTAATGTCAAGAGCTGCTGGAACTGGCCCAGGAGCATAACAAAGAAAAGGAAATAACAGCAAAATAATGAAAAATATATGACTGGTGAAAGTTCTTACCTTACAATTGTTGGGTACAGTTCTGCTGTGTAGAGATATATAAGGCCAAATGCCACACCTATCGAAAATTTTCCAGCCATATTTGCTAAGACAATTAATATATTGAAATCCTATTGAAAGAGAGCACAAATAAATAAACCACAAGAAAATAACACTGTTCCAAATTTAATTTAAATCCTTCAAAAGTTGTGACCCTCTTTAAACATGAAGCAATACTTATTGCTTGCTTTTTTAAAATTGGTCTCAATACGTAACTAGTGTCCATATAACTTTTTACCGGTCCTGGTTCACTGAAGCCCTGGGAACATTTTACATGTGACTCCAGCAACGAAACTGTGAAACCTGTACTGAAAATACAGAAATCTATCTTAGACTGGCAGCCACACTTTAAAAACAGCCTTTAATCAACCATATGATTTAGAAAGAGCAGCTGCATCTACAGGCTTAAGAGCCTTTAAAATCAATTTCTACTATAGGAACACTTTCAACGGTATGTAACTAACCTGAGGTATGAACATAATTAAAACACAGATCAGTGCACTTAAAATAAGGAACGGAATGAGTGTGTTTCTCCTTCCCAGTTTGTCCATCCCAATGCAAGCAATGACATAGCAAGGCAACTCCACAGCACCTGTCAGTATGAAATTATTTCGTTTTAAGTCATGATTACACATATTCATGTTATAACTCTAACTTCCTCTTTATGGGGATTCATTTAATCTAGGGGGTAATAAATAAGTGAAATCTAGAGATAATCAGTGTGTTGAGCTAGTTCATTTGGTAACAGAAATGGCAACAGAAGGCAGAAGGCATGGCCTAAAATATGGTAGTGGGGGATGGAGAAGGACAAGGGAAACAGGTTTCACAGCACAGAGCAGCTCCAGTTCGCTTTGGGGTGGAAAATTACAGAAGACAGCAAGGCCACGGTCCTGCTTTTATGACACTGGCACTTCTGACTGAAAGCTCTCCATTTGCTGCTCTTTTGCTTCAGGTATTTTCACATCAACAGCTTAACTGTGCCCACGAGGAACATTGCTGGTGTCACACCGACACACCTCTCAGGATTTGCCAGCTTCCACCTGGACACAGAACCGAAGCCACAGGCACCTCCCCCAGCTTCAGCCCTAAATCACCCCAATGTAAAAGGTCTCTCCAGGTCCGGTTTTCTGAGTTAGCTCCACAAATACAGAGAGTACGGTTCCAGCTTTCTCTCTTCTCCATTAAAAAGAGGGCAGCTGCTTACAATGTCCCACTCTTACTCAGACCGTCTCTTCCTAATGCCTCTTTCCAGAGAAAAGCTTCTGCAGCTCTAAAGGAACTGGCATTTGGCTAGGACTGTTCACAAACCCCGTGTAAACATGATTTGCCCCTAGAAAAATTATATTGAGCCGAAGCCAGTTCAGACATGTTTTAAACCAACTTGCTCATGAAGAATGCTACTATGTCCAATGTAAAATCAAGGAAGAACATAAGATACAGCCCTGAACAAATATGCTGCATTCCTTTACTGAGCACATATAGTATGTCAATACACTTATAATATCAGGAAACAATCTTTTGGGCCTGTGTTGGTAAAGCAGGTTGCAATTATTCAGTGTATGTTAGTCTGCTAAAATATTTTTGAAGGAGGTGGATACAGTGATTTATGCACTGTACTCCACCGTAATGTTTTCGTTTCTGTGCAATACTAGCAACTACTCTTCAACGTGTCAGTCAACCAATACGCTATAATATGTGACAACAAAAACTGAATTCATCAGTGTCCCAGTCCTTCTGTGTGCTTATGTACATGAACAGTCACATTCACTTTACTGAGAGCACTCAGTTGCATAAAGCAAAGCGCATGATTTAATTCTTTGCTGGCTCAGAGCTACGTGCCTGATCTAGAGTCTTCTACAGTCAATGGAATATTTCCATGATCTTAAACTTTGGATCAGGCCTTGAATGCACTGAGCTGCCTTTATAAACAACTGACAGACCAGAGGAAGATTACAGTCAGACTGACAAAATTAAAAGAATACTACAACTAAATTAAAAATATACTTTTGAGAAAACTAAAATTACTCTTGCTTCTGAGAATTATGGCTCTATTTTCTACACAGACAGACTCAATATATCATGACTGTAAGTGATTAAAGGAATAATTTTTTCCTCTCGTTTTCCTAGTTTGTGCCTTTAACAGAGCCATGTGAATTTTGTGTTGCTGGTCTGCTTCCCTTGGTGTTTGTGTGGATCTGCTATATGCTTGCAGGGCAAAGAGGAGACAAGCGGAATATGGTTTTACAATCACAAAGACAGATGGAGAAGAATTTTGTACACCAACAAATTTTAAATTCTCTTTTTTTTTTCAGAAACAGTGAGATTTCGAGTGAATGATACTCCTCCTGTGTTAGTCAACTTTATGAAGAGTTATCAAGAAACTTTTTGAACAAGGTTCATAATTGAATGAACAAAGTTAAAAAACTGGCCGTCAAATCTATTGACATTTCTAAATGTTACGTTCTAGTTCTGTCATAAGCAGAATAAGGTACAAAAATATTTACCTATGAGAAAGAGATTTAAATATTCATTGCCTCCTAGACTGACAGAACTGAGGGAGAAGACGTAGTACCCCAAGCTCCCAGTGAACCAGATCAGCCAGACTGTGATGGTCCTTCTTGCAATGTGCCAGTTACAAAACAGGTCTAAGATGTTGTGCTTCTTCGTTGAGGACGTGTCATTGTCACCCGTTCTGCCACTGACTAGATCATCTTGTTGGACTGAGCACAGTTCAGAAACTTTGCAGGGAGTGCTTACTTTATTCCATCTTGCCATTATATTAATTACTTTTTGTGCATCTTCGTATCTTTCCTCTGACAGGAGCCAAAAAGGTGTTTCTGGGAGCATCCAGCAGCACAGGACAAAGGGAAGAGTCGCTATGGAGAGAAATATCTGATAGACCCACCAGGTCCGAACCAAAAATCCCACGAGTGCCACAACCATAATTCCCATAGCAAAAAAAGCATGGACATGCATAGAAGCCCAGGTTCGTGCTTTAATGCCAACAAATTCAGTCACATAAACAAAAGCCACAACCAGGTAGCCACTTGAAACCTGAAGGGTGGGAGAGAGGAAAAAAAAAAAAGAGTGAGGTTTCTACCTACTCTCCTTGTGCAACAGCAGTAAAAACAAACAGCTAACAGTGTTCCACATTTGTGTATGCTTAATTGCCACTGCACTGGCATGTCCCACACTGACAGAAAAAAAAGCAACCCTGAAAACAAATCAGCCGGAGAAAAAGTTCACTCAAACCTTCAGACTGCCTGGACACTGTATTTAAAAATGTGAAGTGATTTTGGATGCTTCTCTGTAGTGGGGGAGAGCCAGCGAGAGACACCTGAAAAAGAGCCTAATTTGCTGATGTCACTAAGCCCTTCACCTCCAAAAATCAGGTCCCTTAATGACATCGCAAACTGGACGCTCGGGAAAATGAGGTCCCCTGAAGTAATTGCCACTTCTGAAAATCTTGACCTTGGCTTTTAAGTAGACTACTAATAATCTGTATGTCAGGGAACTGCAAATTTACTGAGAATTACCTTCCACACCCTTGTAAATTATCTCAGTAAATCAAATTTTTACAATGTTGGAAGAGAATCTTATATATATGGTTATAGGTTCTCATACGTTATCTAGCAAATGCAATTACTAGCATGTTCTGCATTATAGTATTTCTTCATTGAATATATATATTATTGAATATATATATTTCAATTTCTCTAGCAACAGTCAAACTCTTGGTATCTCAAAACATTTCAAAACACAGCTAGAAAATCTAGACTAGAAAATATTCCAGTATATTGTTTTGATTAATCAATTTTCTGGTTAAAAATATTCCAGTTAATATTCTCTGATTCTGAACCCACTGAACCTGATAGGATGGCTGTGCTGATCTCAGTGGCACGGGGCTAGAGCTTTAGACCTCCATCTTGCAAATCAGTCCCAGTGGGCAGTTAGAACCTACAGCATTGGTCTGGTCAGAGCTTTTTGCTTTCCTAAACTACCACAGGCCCTAGCATCAACAGCCAAGGGAGTCAGTAGAGGGACTCCTGTTCATCTCACTGTTCAAGGCTGAAATGCCCATGCAGTTTTTCCTGCTAGGAAATCCTTCTGAGCTCTAATCAGGCAAAGGGAACTCCAGATGCAAGGCTCTGTCTTGACTAATGCACTGTCAGAAGGAATAAAATAAATTATGTGATTATTTTCAAATTTCTAACCTACTTTAAATAAGTTACATAATTTTTCTTGTGATAGCATTCCAATTTCTTTATGCATTATATAGTGAAAGACTACAAATATTATACTTTTGGATGTTAAATAGTAATTTAAAATTGGTTACTATGTACAAATATTGAATATATGTCAGATATTGGATATATATCATACATATATATAAAAGTATGTGTATAGATACGCATAAAGACATATACTGGAATACCCTTAAGTACAGTATAAACATCTAGGTGTTAAACATGTCTACCTATGTATTTAGTATTCTACATGTAGCTTAAAAGACCAAAGAGATGCATGGAAGAGAAAATGTGCATCTCTCCTCCATCACTGAAAATGGTAGAGGAAAATCATACTTATTATAGATTTGTTATTTTAAGAAAAATATACTCCATTTCTAACAATAAGGAGAAATGCAATGGCAGCTGCAATGCAGAATCCAGAGTTTGCTGCTCACACTTGGTATTTAATTACCAGTCCAGCAGAGGTTGGGATGGAGGAAGTACCAAACACTGCTTCATACAGATGCTTTCTATTAATTCAAAGAGGAAAAGTGCTGTGGTCCAAGAACATTCAGACTCTCCCTGCTCTGCTGAAATAAGTGCAACAGAGGGGGCTTTAGATTAATGAAGTAGGGGAGGAAATAATAACAAAAGGGAGGTTTTCCTGAGAAGGGGTAGGAAATGACACATAAAAAGAGCCAGGGTGAACATCCTTTCTTACCATAGCAAGGAGAAAGCGCACAATCACGAAACTGTAGTAGTCAAATGTGAAGGCCACTGCAACGCCAAATACAAACTGACCAGCACTTGTGAACCATATAACACGTTGTCTCCCCAGCCTGCAAATCACAGCAGTAATAAAGTTATGAATAACCACAAACATTCTATTAAAACACACCTGCAACTCCAGAGAGCCTATCTGGAAGTGAGTCTGAAAATACTGTCCTTAATACTTTCACTCACAACAGAAACTCTGATTTAGTTACCCGTATTAATTTTTCAGTAATTCCAACTTCCAAGACAAAAGAAGCTCCTATGGACAAAACTTCCATTCCACAATTCTTGGCTGGAAGCAACGTGCAGAAGTGGGCATTACATATGCTCACCTCCAGTTTCAAGTTTAACTTCTACATAACTAATCTGCAAATTTACTCTGTCTTATTTATGAGGACAGTAGGTAAGACTCGCTTTTTCAGATATTTTATATTGAGTAACGTCTAGTTAATAATTTCTAACAAAAGTTAGCTGTGATAACACATGCCATCTCTTGCCAAAGTAACAACCAATTTGGACAGGAATGAAAGGCTTCTGTAAGATATCTTTGTCCAGTTATTTAAAGTTGAATTCTCTAATAAATGACAATTACATAGTTCCCCTGAATTTTCTGATTGCATCACAGCACACATGTGTGCATACACAAACACAGAAATCCAGGAAGCTAGAATACTAACAGCAAAAAAAAATCATGTCAAATACTAGCTTCCCATCAACAACATAGTATTTACCAGTGTAAAAGAAGGGCATTAAGTAAAAAGGAACTTCTATTTGTTTATCTTCTTCCCATATCTCAGGGAGAAAATATACCAAGTAGAGCCAGTTGTGCCTAAACAAGTGAGCACATGCTATCAATAAGAAGCTCATCTGAGGAGAAAACCTAGAAAACTGCAGTAGATATACAAGACTCTAGTGAGGATTCATTATATTCTATCTACAAATGTTCTGTAATACAAAATGCGCGGAATCCTTTTTCTTCCCTGATAATATTCTCTTGGACTCTTATTATCTACTCCAATGCGAACAGCTTTTCACAGACGTGGATATTACATTTAGACAGAGAGTTTGAGGACTTTCAGGGGTGTGGGCTCGTTTGTCGGTTTTTCTCCATAAGTATTTGGTACTACATTAAAACAACTCCTATTTTTCTCCAGCTGTCACCTGGAGTCATGCACATTTGATCTCTGATCCCTGCCAGAAGAGATCCCAGTGAGTCCTAGCTGTCCGAGCTCTTCTGTTGGGAAATCTGTTAATTGGGAATGGGAGGAACTCACAAACTTATTTCCCACCAGCCAGGACATGTCAGAAAATAATAACTTTCAGCTGTAAAATCTACAGTTGTAAATCCGCAACTCAGAATGTGCGTATTATCTTAAGTGGCTGTCCATGGCTCGAATTAATGGAAATGAGAACAATATGATCATAACCTTTAAATCATGTCTGAGTATTAATTAATAAAGCTATGAATGATTTAAAGGGATGCAGAACAAATGTTGGCATTATACTCTGGTTTTGTATTAAACACGGTTTTACAGAGCCTTGGATCGGGAGGCAGGATTGATTCCATGTGTTCTAAAAGCCAAATTAAAAAAAGATCATCTTCACTTTTGCATTCCCATGTTGTAACTGTCACACCGTAGCGTTGTGCTAATGAAGGAAAATCAGAAAACAACACGCCTGGTCTCCTTTTTCTGCTTATACTCTTAGCTGTGGGATAAAATGTCACCCTCCACCTAACAGAGCTGTTAGTCAACAAGCTCCTTTATAGAAAGAGATAAATAACACTAAACCAGCCTTCAAAGCAAAACACAGGTACATAAACTGCCTGAGGCAAAACCAAGTACAACGTAGCTTAGGCGTTTGATTCGCATATGGATAGAGGGGCACGGCTGGGCGTTCTTCTGAGGTAGGAATACGTGTGTTTGTGTTGAGAAAGAGAAGCAGGAGGATACAGATGTACATCCTGGATCTCACTATTGCTTCTGAGTCCAGCTCTGATGCTGGATCTCAGTGCATGATCTGAGAAAACATCCAGGGAGAAAGTGTCGGCTGAAGCTACAATTTTCAGAGGATGGCACTTTACCTGTCAGCAATGTCACCAAAAATCACTGCTCCAATCAAGACTCCAAGCATGAATGTAGGCTGGATTAATTTTGCAAGCCATTCTCGGTCACAGACCAGATCCCACTGCGTAACAACTGTGCTCTTCCACTTTGTATCATCATAGAGAAATCCATCAGAACAAGAAAATATGGACTTGTTGCCTTTGTATTCATATGCCAGATCCAAACTGACTTCTCGTTTGGACCTGCTGCATTGGTTAAGTTCCCAAATTTCTCCATTTTCCAGCTGGACTACAATGTAATTTTCTGTTGATGTCCACAGCGTCCAGATGTCCTCTATACTGGATTCAGAGGAGTTGTAGAAAAGAACACTACTCACATTTCCAGGGATCCCACATACAAAGTTAGGAGTAACAGCCATGAACACAGACGCTAAGTAATGGATACCACATGACATAGCTTGAAAGACAGATGCAAAATAAACACATGCTTGAAATCTGTAAAGGGAAAGAAAAAAGTTTACTGAAGAAAAGCCCTCTATACATGAAAAAAAAATCAACATAGTTATTTTGCTAGGATCAGTAAATGGAGAGAACATTAAAGTGCCTAGTGTTTTGTTATATAGTGCTGCTTTAATATTAGCTAAGCCCTGCAAGAGACCAAAGGTGAGAAAAGATTCACAGCAGAAGTAATCTATTGTCAGGAAATAAATGCTGCTCTTACTCATGTGTTTAGCCATACACAGAGAAGACCATTTAAAAAGAAACAATTCTGAATTTAAGTACTTAGTTTGAAGCAACCTTCCACCCTCCAATTCTGTGTAGTACAACCCCTCAAAATAAGGCCTTAGATTACTGGAACGGTTAGAAAAACCAAAATGTTGTAACCTCAGGTTCTGAGGAATAGAGATATGCGCATCAAATAAAACAAACCAAACACATTATGCCCTTCATTTCACATAATTGTATCTATATAACTGTATTCCATCTATCTTCCACCTCTCTTTATTGCCTCTGAAAGACAAAGAGAGAATACATGTAGACACATGTAGAGGAAGATAGAATCTGAACAGTGTGAAATGTTCTGTACCAAAACATAGCTGTAAACTGGGCTGGGTTTTGGCTTAAGCAGGGTGTGCAGTTATGCATTAAAGATTGTATCATAAAGCAAACATGGCAAAAGGTTGTTTTATGCATAGCCTGAATTTTTGGCATTTTAACAGCTTTTAAAACATGCTTGAGATGCAAGTAAATCCTAGTGTATAAATTGCACATGTATTCTGAATTTTGAAAGACTTGCAATGAACTCTGGTATCACTGACTGCAAATTCTAGACAGTTTCTGATAATCTAAGCATAAGGAGTCTTTTCCTCAATTACATGTTAAAATTATGCACATAATTAGTACAACATCTGTTTGGAAAAAACAACATCGCTTTGGTTTCTCCTCCTCTTTTTATCTCCTGAAGGCCAATCCATTGCACTAATTTGAAGAAGCATTCAATGAGCTTCTATATATACATCCTTACTGCAGTATGCACTGGGCCTTGCTAGTATGAAACAAAAAGCCACTTTTTTTAAAATGATCAGAGGCTATCATCTCTGCTGAAGTTATAGGAAATGATGCCAAAAAAAAATTGCCTTGAAATGTCTCGTGGGAAAAGTCAGAGCAATTCCAATTCCCATAACAAATACGACCTCTAGATGACTCCTCTCTGAAATGTATCTAATCTAGCCTTGACTTCCCACAATAAAGGTTGCAACAGTACCTAGCCTAGGACTTTTAAATCATCTATCATCACAATTTCTAATGAATTTCTAAACTATCTATAACCAAAGTCTTTAAATAGAATGTGCTGGATACATTGTCTTAATGTCCAATTAACCTTTCCAATTAAACAGTTCTCTTGTATAACCTAATTCCATTCACCATCCTCATTCTCCTCTGCCTTTTATCTTGCAATTCTTATTTCTTTCCTTGGTAAATGTAAACCCAGTTGCCCATCCTGTGTTTCCAATGGCATTCTTGCTGTTCAGATGGAGTGCTTTTTATCTCCCTTTCTCTTGGCAACAGCTCTATTGACTTTTCCACAGCAGTCTGAGGAGAGGGCTGAATTGCTAAACCCACCGTGGCAGCTCAAAAGCTGGCTCCACTTCCCTCTTGAAGACTCGGCAAGGCACCCCGCACACAGGTGCTGTGCTGCTCTTTCCCAACAAACCTTGTCAGAGATATGGTCAAGAGAAACTGAACATAACCACAGCACCCCTTAAGCCTATCAATCTCCTCTCAAGACAACAGCTTCTTGAGGACTAAGTAGCTAGCCATAAATCAAAGCAAGGCTAAACCTGCTCTGAAAAGCTTTTGGACTATCCTGGACCACAAAAAAAGCAAAGATTATTCTTAAATGTAACCCTTGTCCCCCTATCAATGCAGACAAATATGGTCAGCAACATTTTCTAGTTCGTCTTCTCTAGTTTCATTTTAACTGTTCCCATCAAAAGACACAAACTTGTTTTAAAAATAGCAGAGCAAGACCAAATTCAACAACTTGGGCTATTGTTGCTGTGTGCAGAATGACTGAAATCAGGACTAGGGGACCTCTAGCAAATTAGCAAATTTAATCCCTAGAAGCTGTGCAGTTGCATCTTCTACTAGCTAATAAAAAGCGGCATACCTGGAACCAGGATCCCCAGTATTTGCAATTTCTGTCATTATGCATCAGGAAATTGCAGTGTCAGATAGCCCAGTTGGTATTTCCCAGACAGAGGAAGTATCGAAAAATTTAAAACTCCCATACATTCATCTTGAGTTTCGTAATTAGCTCTCACAGTACAAGAAATATCAGGTTCATCAGTTCCCTTCTACCCAGTAAGAGTGAGCAGGAAAAGTATGTTTATGCCCTTTCGTGTTGGAGAGGCTTGAAAGATGATAGCAACTTGTAAGGATACGGACTGAGAAGATGGCATGAACCAATGCATTAGAATCACAGAATCATAGAATCATAGAATCATTAAGGTTGGAAAAGACCTCCAAGATCATTGAGTCCAACTGTCAACCCAACACCACCAGGCCCACTAACCCATGTCCCTAAGCGCCTCATCGACACGTCTTTTAAATACCTCCAGGGATGGGGACTCAACCACTTCCCTGGGCAGCCTCTTCCAAT